GGTGTGAAAAAAAAAAAAAAAAAAAAAAAATCAGAAGGCATGGTTCATATTTATTAGTTTATTATTTTACTATTATATTAATAATTATTGTTATTATATATATTATATTTTTTGGGTCTAACTGTTAGTAAGACTGTGTGAGAAAGGTAGGGTGAATATTAAAATATATTACACTTTCATCTATGTAGAGCTTTTAAAAAAATATAGTAATAATAAAATACCATTCATTTTTTATTAACTTTATCAATACAAGCATTAACATAAAATTTTATTATTACAGTAATTCATTAAATAATTTTGGATATCCATTCATATTTGATAAGGGAAAATTTCACTTTTGGTACCCCATGTATACATGTTTTTCGGTTTTGATACCCTTGGTTTCAATTTAATCATTTCAGTCACTCAAGTATTCAAAATCCATCATTATTGCCCAAATCGTCAGTTGACCGTGAGTCAAATGACGGCCACCTTCTCTAGCAGGTCGTCTCCTTCTGCAAGTGATAGAAAATGGCGGGCATCTCCATTACAGCACCACAAAGCCGCCGACAGTGAGGAAAAAAAAAAGGAATTTGAAGTATTTGCAATTTTGCACGAGGAAGCTGAAACTCTCGCTGGAATTCCGAGATTAATGGTGTTCCAAGGGAGATGACATGCAATTATGGAGAAAAAATATACTTGAAGACCTCTTGGACCCGAAATAATCCGGGAAGAAGATATTGGGCATGCCCTAAATATGGGGTAACTAATTATTTTGTTTTTGTTTTTGTTTTGATTTTTGTTTTTAATTTGCCTAATGTAAATATAACAAGCATTTGTAAAAAGAAATGCAGAACTTTGGTTTTTGCCGAATTTTTATATGGTTTGATATGGAAATTTGCGAAAGAGCAAAGAATATTATACTTGGTTTGCTGGAAAAATCAAATAAACATCAATATCAAATTGAGCAATACAAGTTGAAAAATGCTGAAATGGAAGCTCGTGGCAATGAACAAGGTGGATGACATGAACAATGCATTGGTTGTGTGCAACAATAAGATCAAAAAATTATGACCTTCTATAATTCTTCTCTCATTGTTATACCTTATCAAATTCTGTTTTAACTAGATTTAGATAGTTATGGTTGGTGTACTTTGAAGTATTGTTATGATGGTTTTTTTCATTTCAATTAGGTCTGCTTGATTGGAGAAATTAAGGGAAATCGATTTCTTAGGTTTCTTTGGAGAAAGCAACCGGCTAGTGAAGGTGGCCGTCAGTTGACTCACGGTCAACTGACGGTCAACTGACGATTTGGGCAATAATGATGGATTTTGAATACTTGAGTGACTGAAATGATTAAATTGAAATCAGGGGTATCAAACCGAAAAGCATTTGAGGTACCAAAAGTGAAATTTTCCCTATTTGATAAATATAGCACCTAGTAATGAGTCGGTGGACCGGCAAAGAGCTGCTCGGATTTGCACCGACAAAGAGCTGCTCGGTTTTGTAAGGTTGGAGTTAGGAGATTAGCTCTAGCGAAGTAGCAGCTCGGTATAGGTAGCAGCAGGAGCTCGATCTTATAGCTACATTAGGAGCTCGGTCTAATGGACCTTGCAGTAGCTTGGCCTTGTGGACATGGTTGTAGCTCGGTTGTATAGTTACGTTAGGAGCTCGGTCTTACATGGACTTAGTCTAGTAGCAACAGCAGCTCGTCAACAGCTCGGTAACAGTTGTAATCCGGTAAAATGGTGGGGATCTGCTCGAATTACTGAGCAGGTTAGGTGGTCCAGGAGCTCGGAAAGGGAAACTCTGAAGCATAAGGCCGAGCTAAAATAACGGTTATGAGGAGCAGATAGCAGGGGACACGTGTAGTGCCACGATTGAAAAGGAATAATCGATCCAACAGAGGAAAAACAAAGCGTGTTGGAAAAGATAATAACTTCATATAAATAGGTAAACTATTGGAGGAGGTAAGGTCAATCATTCTACAAACCCTAAATTCTATACGCAGCTTTCCTCTATCTTCTTTGATCTCATACTGACTTGAGCGTCGGAGGTTTACCGCCGGGAGCACCTCTCGGCGTCTTTGCAGGTTTTGGAGCGGTTGAGGATTAGAGGGAAGTCGGTTCAAATGCAGAAGCACATCAATATTCCTTTCCTCCAACTATAGAAATTGCATAATTTTGTGAGTTATGTGTTTTTTATATTATTTATCATTATTTTGGGGGTTAGAAATGTAAGAAACTTTTCTTTTTGGGCTATGGAATGATAACTGACACAACCTTATGCCCTTTACACAGTGTTTGGTTCGGGAGAAACTGAGGGGAGGGAAAGGGAGGGGAGGGAATTTTATAATTTTCCCTTGTTTGGTTCAATTTTTTGTAGGGAGAAAGATTGGTATTTTCCCTTCAAATCCCTCTTCCAAAAGAAAATTCCCCCACTCCAAAAGTGGGGGAATTTGGAGGGGAGAGAAAAATTTAACACATAAAATTACTATATTATCATTTATATGTGAATTATTTTATTATTTTGTTTCTTACATCATTAAGGATATATTTGTCATCTTAACATTATTTTTCCTCCCCTTTTATTATCTAATCAAACAAGGTTTACTATTTTCCCTCCACTCCCTTCCTACAAAATATATCCAAATAAGGTAAAATTATTTTACATCACCTCCACTCCCCTCCCCTTCCTTCCATTAAAATCCCTCCCCTCCTCTCCCCTCACTTGAACCAAACATAGCCTTAAAAAAATTAATAAAAACAAAAAACTCAGGGCTTGATTGTTTATGAATTATTTCATTTTCATTTATTTTATACTCAAAATCTAACTCAACTTTTACTCAACCCTACTATCTTTAATATTATTCATATAATTAAATAATACAAACCAATCATTTTTATACATCATATCAACTTCAATTCACTATTCATCCACTCACATTATTTTAACTACCAATCATTTCCAATCATTTATCTTATTTTTACATCAAATCAGTTTTAATCATTTTATTTTAAATATTATTATAATACATTTTTAAAATTCCATTAACAACTAACCTACACATTTTTTAAAATTAATTATAATTTAACCAAAATAATTCATTTTGAACAAATTATTTCATAAACAATCACCCTCTCAAAAGTCCCACTTTGATTATTTCGGCTCCCCCTTTTAGCTCGACATTTTCATCACTTGCTATGGCAGATGAAAGTCCCACTTTTGATTATTTCGGCTCCCCCTTTTAGCTCGACATTTTCATCACTTGCTATGGCAGCATCTGCCTTGTCCCTCAGATCACTTCTCACCTCCCTTTCGACAAACCCAAGCGATCTACATGTAAGTATTTTCGATTTTCTTGCTCATTTTTCACTGTAAATCTGTTGGGGCTTAGAGATGAACTGTTTTTTGATTGATTGGATAAAAAAACTTGAATCTTTATCACAAAATTACCGTTTTTAGGCTTCATATGAGCGATATTCGTTGACTACAGAATGGGTTTAGGAACTTTTTTACTTTTATTTGTGTCCCTTGAGCCAAACAAGAAAATTCTGTACATCTAAAATTGAATTGCATTTTCTTGTCTCTCTTATTTCCTCGCATTTCTTTTCTCCAATACTGCTTGATGCTTGTAAATGGAGTTCTACCAAAAGAATGTAGCAGCTTTTTATGTATTTATTTTCATTTTTCCTGATAAATCATTGAACTAACTGCGCTTAGTTTTGGGTTGAAGCTGGAATTGTTTTAGTATGGAAGCGTCAATCAGAGCAAGCGTTAAATCATCTGCGTAAATTATAAGTAGTAGCAGAATTCAAATTCACGGTTTAGGGTGATGGTATATTTGGTTCTGAAGCTTGATATAATGGGGCCTTTTTATTTGCTAGTGTAATTATTTTGTTCAAGTGTCTTTTTAGTTTTCACTTTCTTATAGCTAATGCTGCATCTTAGCCTAGTATACTTGTTGTTGTATCCTAATTCAACACTCTCTTCTCTCTAGGGTTCTTTAAATAACACCTCCTTGCTTTATGGGCACAAAACGGCAGTGCTTACAAAGGGGAATTTTCCTGTGAATGGTGTAAAGTTTAACTTAAATTGCTCGAGGGACAAAGAGATGGAAATCGGCAGTTCAGCTTCAGTCTATAGCATTGGCCAAAACTCAAATGGTAAGTGCAAGTTATAATTTTTCACAATAAGAAAGTAACGGTTCTTTATGTAATTCTTCAATTCATTATCTAGGATTGATCATGATATATTTATTTTGCTATAGAAATGGAGTCCGTAGATAGTAGTGAACAAGTTGAGCCAAGTGTCTCTACCATGTTGATGAATTTTGACAACGAGTTTGATCCTTATGATGCACTAAGCACGCCTCTATACCAGACAGCAACTTTCAAGCAGGTAATTTTAATTTTTACCTCCATCTTAAATGTTTTGGTCTACTGTTAAAGTACTTGCAATAAATTTCCCAATAGTGAAAAAAAAGAATCTCAATTTGAGAGGGAAAAAGAAGAGTCAAGAATTGTCACTATGAACAAGTTCTTGTGCATGTATTACTAACTTAATGGGTTTGCAGCCTTCGGCAATAGACAATGGGCCATATGACTATACAAGAAGTGGAAATCCGACTAGGGATGCCCTCGAAAGGTTTATTTTGTCTGCAGTGCTTATTTATTTATTCATTTATTTTTGTAATGTCCTTGATTGCTCCATTTTTTGTTCAGTATGTTTAATTCATTCTTTGTTCACTATCAGACTCCTCGCAAAACTTGATAAAGCTGACCGAGCACTATGCTTCACCAGTGGAATGGCTGCTTTGTCAGCAGTTACACATCTTCTTGGAACAGGTATTTCATCTTTTCATGTTTGTTGACTCTTGGGGATATTCATGTACACTCGTTATGTACAATTAGTTTGATGAACATTAGTATCTTGCACTTATAATGTGAATATAATAATAATAATGAACCCTCTCTCTCTCTCCCTCCCTTATGAAAAGTACAAATAGGGATATTCTTTTTTATCTTTTTTTTTTTCTCCTCAAGTTAGTTTTAGTTTGAAAACATTTCACTTGCCACATTATTATAAATTTTTTTTTCTTTTTACAATTGGTAGGTGAGGAGATTGTTGCTGGAGATGACATGTATGGTGGTTCTGATCGTTTGTTGTCGAAAGTAACTCCAAAATCCGGAATTGTGGTTAGGTTAGTATTTTTTTTCTCTCTTTCTTTTTCTATACAGTGTAACTTAAAATTTACCGATATTGAGTTTGCAGCTTGAAACTACAATAATGTTACAGGCGTGTGGATACTACTAACTTGGAAGAGGTTGCATCATCCATAAGCCCCCAAACGAAGCTCGTCTGGTTGGAAAGTCCTACAAACCCTCGACAACAGATTTCGGATATTCGTGTAGGTTTTGTTGGTTTGTAATTGTTTTCTCTATGAAGAAAATTCATGAATTTTAGGAGTACGTTGTAAATGTGGTGAAATTATGATGATGAACTGACGGAACAAGTTGAAGCAATTGCATACTAAAATGAAGCAATTGCATGCTAACATGAAAATTAATGAATTTTAAGAGTGTTCATAAATTTGTTATTTTTATTACTAACTTTTTCACATTTTTATCGTGATTTCATGCAGAAAATTGCTGACATGGCGCATGCTCATGGCGCCCTTGTACTGGTAGATAATAGCATCATGTCTCCTGTGTTGTCTCAGCCACTGGAACTTGGGGCTGGTAATTTCTTTTAATTTTTGTTTAAACTTAACATCATCTTAACAGTGATAAGTCATTTAACTTTTATTTGTCAAAAAAAAATAAAAAAATCAGATATTGTGATGCACTCGGCTACAAAATTCATAGCTGGCCACAGTGACCTCATGGCTGGTGTTCTTGCTATTAAAGGAGAAAGGTGTGGTCTATGACTATTGTGTGTCGAGCATTTTGATTTATGATCGTATTTTTAATGTTTCATAGATAACTGATTTAAACGATAATTAGGGTTAACTTACAAACTCTATCCCCTGAAATTCTCTCGAATCACTAAAAAAGAAACTTTTACCTCCCAAACTTCCAAATAAACACCCCTAAAGATAGCCGAGTTCTTTTTATAAATATGATGACGCTCATGGGCAATGTTATATATATTCTTGGAATTTTGCAATGTTTTAGCTGAAATAAGTAGCACATGGTTTCTGATTTTCACTGTATTCACGAGTTCATTCGAAAAATAATGAAAAATGGATCTTTGTTTGGCGGTCTTTAGCTTGGCGAAAGACTTGTATTTCCTACAGAATGCAGAGGGCTCGGGTTTAGCCCCATTTGACTGCTGGCTTTGTTTAAGAGGCATCAAAACTATGGCCCTTCGTATCGAGAAGCAACAGGTATAATTTTTCATCCACCCATATCCTTCATGTGATTGGAAAAGGAAAGAAAAAAAAAAGGGCAACTGAAAAGGTTCTTTTAGTGGTAATAATCAAGATTGTTTTCGATAGCATGTTAACTCAGAATTACAGGGTTATATTCTATTTAATTTATCTATTTCCTGTAATATTTTTCGTTTAAATGAGCAGGATAATGCGCAAAAAATAGCTGAATTTCTCTCCTCTCATCCACGGGTGAAAAAAGTCAATTATGCCGGTCTTCCTGATCATCCTGGAAGATCCTTACACTATTCACAGGTATAAATAACCTCTTCAATCCAGCTCCCATTTTTTTTTAAAAAAAAAAAACTCTTGATCAAGTAAACGAGCCTGTGTTATCTAACTTTCGCCATGGCCCATGGCGTATATTTGGCTAATCGCCAATTAGAAATGACTAATGAGCATAATATGAGCATAAACTCTTAATGAAGGTTAATTTTCAGTTGTATATATAAACTGTAATGTTTCGTTTAAATGCAGGCAAAAGGTGCAGGTTCTGTGCTTAGTTTCTTAACAGGATCACTCGCACTCTCTAGGCATGTGGTCGAAAAGACCAAATATTTCAGCATTACCGTCAGTTTTGGTAAATTCCTTTCTTTTACCATTCGAGAAATTTAGTAGACCAAAGGTAGTTACTGTAACTTTATGCACACAAATTTACTGCTGAATCTTCCAAATTTTGCAGGAAGTGTGAAGTCACTCATAAGCTTGCCTTGCTTCATGTCCCATGCAAGTATACCAGCAGCCGTACGAGAGTCGAGAGGCTTGGCAGAAGATCTTGTTCGTATATCTGTCGGGATCGAGGATGTGAACGACTTGATTGCCGATTTAGATGAAGCTCTCAGAAGTGGGCCCCACTAGCTTCTTTTTGTATTATCATCGACAATGAGAGACTTTNTGAAATTGAGCTTCTGGTCTTATATATTAGATGGTTTATTGCTGCTAATTGGAGTTGAGATGCTTCAGAGGTGCAAGAAAACACTAATTACACGATCAGAACAACAAAAAACTCTTGTCGAAAACAAAACCGTACATTACATTTAAGATTTCTCGCGATCAAAACATCTCGTTAACAAACTCGAATATGAAAAAAAGCAAAAAGAAAAAGAAAAAAAAAAATGATACAAATGGGTTTTTGCTGGGAGCCTAGGACTGTCAATTGATTATGATTTATGGCAACTGAGCCAATTAGGCCACAACACGAAATGAGCAAAACCGAGCCGAACCCATCTATCGTGAAATTTCTTTAATCACCGGCCTGGATCCATGCTCTTACGAGATAGTTCTGTTCTATTCACATTGAGCTAATGGGCCCATGTCAAGAAAGCCCATTCTTGTCCGAGAAACTGCGGCCCAACTGGGCCCTGTTTGCATGCTCCGGCCAAGTTCCAAATAGTGCAGAGTCACCTAAGATTAAGAGCATTCAATCACACTGCCAAAAATCCTTCATAACTCCAGTCTAGTGTCCACCGTCTTATAGTCTACTCACAAGTAACAATAAAAATCATGAGCCTGAGCGTAAAATATTTGGGAAATTATTGAATGTAAAAAATAACGAACCTTCGTGTTCGTCCTTCACACAAGGGTCGAGTAATCTCTCTTGTATTTCTGAAAAGAATATCAAGTAAAAACACAACAGTCATTATATGTCAAATGTAATCTCTCCCAAATCTCACAAGTTATTAGAGAGAGAGAGAGAGAGAGAGAGAGAGAGAGAGAGAGAAACCATTACTACTCGAAAAATCGACGGTCAAATCCGACAAACTGAAGTTACGAGGTATCTGCCTCAAGAATCCAAACGAGCTCGACTCTTGCTCCAGCATCCTCTCACTCAAAACCTGTGGACTCGATTCATGATCCTCATTGAAAGGAGAAACCGGTGTTTCCCCAATAGCATCACAGCTTTCTAGAAGATTCTCATCCGAACCAAACACAAAATCCGAGCCTGGATCGTCTTCATAACCGAGCTCCAATTTTATCACCACAGAGCCATCATCATAATCGGGCTCCGATTTTAACGCCACATCAGCATGACTAGCCGTATCAAGCGCCAACTGTGAATGAATATGAGATCCATTAGGCATGGAAATCTGATGCATTAGCTTGAACTGTCTCTCGAGCAGTTGATTGAACTGTATAATCTGGTCCTTCACCACGAGCCTCAATTGATACGCCCTGAAAAATTCCGCATTTTCCGCTTCCAGCTTTTGCCATACTGGAAAAAATATCTACACATTAATAGGCTGATCCACACAATTTTATTTTATTTTTTCTTTTCCTTTTTTTCAGGAAGATACATAAAATAGCTGCTAAAAAAATAGGGAAATTGAAACTACCGAGCTCGGTAAAACCAGGCTCGATTTTCGCCTTGTGTAGCAAGGTACTCACGACCTCCTCCCGGCTCATGTAAAGCTGCAGACACCTTTCTATAAGGTTTTGAACCTGTAATCACCATAAAAGAACATCCTTATACAGATAAGGGTGAAAAACGAGCCGAGCTTCTTTACTGAGCCGAGTTATTAATTAAATGAGCCGATAAATGAGCTTGAGCTCGGCTTGTGCATAAATATTAATGAGCCAAGCTAAACGAAGCTCACAAGCGCCCCGTTTCGTTTAAAATTCTAAGTTCAACATCACCAACTACAAAGAACAATCTTTGGCTCCAAAACCTAACTAGAATTACTAGACTCATATAAAGCACTTCAAACTACAAACACATTCATACTCAGAAACAAAATCAGCTGCTCCCAAAATTAATTTTCTAAGATTCTGCTATCATCTTCTTGCAACAACATGAATAGTAAGCATTCAGTTTCTACAACTCGACTACAAACAATTCTGCTAATAACCAGTTCATGATAACTTCAAGAAAGTGAAATAAATAATAAATAATAAATTAAACCCCATAAATAAAGAAACCCAAGTGACTTACCACCTGTATATCCTCCACTGATACCTTTCGGGTATCTCCACTCTCCATTTTCGCTATTTTTCAGGAGACTTACCCTTCCTCTCAAGCTTCGATTTTTATCCAAAAATAAAAATTAAAAAATTAGCCATGATGGACCCAAGAAAAAGAAAAACAGAGATATTCAACACGAGAAAACAATTATCTCAACGAATTTGAATAAATAATCATTTATTCCACTGCAAATTCGTCTTGCATTCGAGCTGAGTTTCGTTTGGGTCAAGGGAGGTCGTACTATATGCAGCGTACTATATGCAGACTGTGTAGGGCACTGTGCTCGGGAATCAATTCCGCCGCCCATCGGAGCCAATTAGTTCCATTCACTTTAAATGTACCAATGTTTGTGGAGAAGGTACAACTTCGTGATGCAAGTTGTGGAGAAAGAGTGTGCAAAGGTTTTAATATTGAATTGCACGTTTAGTCATATGGCTACGTGTTGGAAAATAAGTAGAACAAATTGGATTTCATAAAAAAATCATATGTAAACAAATCCAATATTTATTTTGCATTTTTTAACACAAAATAATCACAATTCCCAAACTCATTGGTGCTATGCCTCGTAGGTGCTACGTGGCCTATTTTGGTGGGATAAATAAGTCGAGTCCATCCGAATTTCAACTCTTAATACATGTGTTTGAACTCGAACTTTTATCAAGCTGAACTCGATTCATTAACAAAAACGATCCAATTATCGAGTTTTGCTTAATGAGTTGAACTCGACCTTAACGAAACAAGTTATAGAAAACTATGTAAAAGTCTTGTTTTTAACTTTAATGAGTCGAGTTGAACTAATTAACTAAATGAGTTCGAGTTCACAAACTAAATTGAGCTCTGAGCCTTAACAAGGCGAGTACAGCTCACAAACATAGGTCTAGTGGCCATTTTTCTTATTGGGCCGTCACCTTATAGATTTTAAGAGCATGATGGGCCTGTGAAATGCATTACTATTCCATATAGGTTGAGTCCAGGATTCAATCAAGTAGCAACAAGTGCTGGCCCAGAAAGTAAAGATTGCCCACCCATGTGCATCTATTTCCTACTATTTACATACAACTATTATTAATTTGTTGAGTTCTAAGTTGGCGGTTTAATTTTCTTTTTTTCTTTTTTAAATAATTTATCAACCGACCCATACCAAACCCCAACAGCCCTCACGAGAGGAGAATAATCTTTGTAACATTTACTAACATTTTTGGAATATTATATTTGACCAATCATTTGATTATTAATTTAATTGATAACTGGATTAGTTTAATTGTTTGTCTTATATCATATTCGACGGAAAAACATAATTTATCGCATCATTCTATTGTACGTTATTGGGCTCGTACTTAACTAAATATGCGTACTTATTAATCAGAAGTTTCAAAAGACAAAACAATGTATGAACAATACCTGTTTATTAGGAGGAATGAAAATATTTATCAACATCATTTTCTACCTTAACAATACCATAGCATTGCATATATGAATCTAGTTACAATCGTTCAACTAATAATTAATATTACAAAACATGTGAAGGCATCATAAAACTTTCTCATTTAAAAGTGTTTTTACATCATGGTTTTTGCCCTTGTTTTTTTCTATAAGTCAAATAGAAGATACTTGAACTACACGCTAGTGGTTGATTTT